GGCTACAAGCCAAGAAACACCAAGGACTGCTAGCAGCCACTGGAAGCTGGGAGAGACAAGGAATGGATTCTCTTCTGGAGCCTCCTGAGAGAGAGTGGCCCAGTCATCACCATGATTTTGGATTTTTAGCTTCAGGAGTGCTGAGAGAATTATTTCTGTTGTTAGCCACTAAGTTTGTAGGAATTTGTTAGGTCAGCCACAGGAAACCAACCTCTTTCACTATGGAGAAGGCTTTCTTCTAAGTGCTAGGGGTGCAGAGCTGAGCTAACAAGGTTTGATTCCAGGAATTAATTTTTTTTTTTTTGAAAATTAAAAAAAGTAAAAAATGTTACAATAAATTGTATAATAGAGGTTTGTCCAGACTATTGTGTAGTGTTGAAGGGTGCAGGTAACTCTATAATTTGGAAGATTCATTGAGGAAGAAACTTTTGATCTGAGTTTGAATGAGCAAGAGTATACTGAAAGAAAGGGGCTGGAGAAGTTAGCGGGAGGGGAAGTGTGTGTGAAGTACCAGGTGCTACTCCTTTAACCCCCCACCAGTGAGATGCGCCCTCCATCTGAAATCTCAGTATTTTCAAGTATAAGAGTAGAGCAGTTTCCTGAAGCCACATTGTCATCCTGAGGCTGCCATGTTTGAGACTTTTAATGGTCTGTCTCTGTTATACAGGATGTTTAAAAATACCAACCTCTACCCATGCTTCATCACTTGTACTTCTGGCTAAGACCCTTTGGCAGCTTAGACTGTAGTGTGAAGTTAGAGGCCGCAGTTAGAAAGAGCTCCTACACTCTGATGGGAAACGGTCAACAACTTTTGCAAAAAAGGTAAATATTTTAGACTTCTCTGGCTTCCAGTGTGTCTGAGGGTGTGTGCATATGTGTGTGCATGTGTATATGTGCATACATATATTGACAACCCTTTAAAATATGTATATTTTACAACCCTTAAAAATGTAAAAGCTATTCTTAGAGAGCAGGCCTTATTAAAGCAGGCCATGGGCTCTGTACTCTGCTGACCCCTGCTCATGCCATGATAATATATTAAATTAGACATCACTTTTTCTTTTGAAAGAAGAGTTAAGTATTTCTGCTATAAAGAACCAATATTAAATATGAATAACTTAAAATCTGAGCCAACGTATGATTGATTGATTGAAATTTATGGCTTCCTAACCTTAAACAAACAGTAAACAAGTTTACAAATGGCCAGAAAAGTGCTTAAGTTTTTCTTAACATCTTGGCTTTTTTAATAAATGGAACTTATAAAAAAACATGTATTTTAAAAATCTTAAAAGAAGGAGGAAGCAGAGGAAGCATGCTATTCTATTTTTCTAATACTACCACTTTAGAAAACTACATTTCAAGTTTAGTAACTAGTAACATTTTTTTTTTAATCCTCACCCAATCATATGTTTATTGATTTTGGGCCAGGGCAGGGGGTTGGGGGTGGGGGCGGGGGGGGGGAGAGAGAAGGAAAGATCGATGGTGTGAGAGAACCGTCTATTGTTGGCTTCTGAACAAGCCCTGATGGGGAATGGAACCCACAGCCTTTTGGTATATGGGACGATGCTCCACCTGAGCTACCCAGCCAGGGCACTAGTAACATTTTTAAAAGACCATTTGTTTTTCTTTGGCACAGATGTTTCCCTATGCAAGATGTACTATACTTTTAAAGACACTGCAAAAATAATTGTGTTCCTTAGGGTGAATGATGAGTTGGACATTTCATACCATCTCTTGAAAGAGCTTTGTTATGGGAGTCTTCTTTTTTTACCCATAGCTCCTGAAATGTCTCAAACAAAGTGACTATCACTTCAGAAATTTTCAATAGATTGCTTTAGGATTATTTTCAGTTCTCTTAAAGTAAAATAGCATAGGCACCTCAAAGATGACTTATTTTTAGTGACAAAGTAAATATTATAAAAACTTGACACTGAATTTAAAATGAAAATAATATGAAGGATATTTCAAAATACGTCTTACAACTCAAACTGTATTTCATTCTATGGTACGGTTTCCATGTGTTTCTTTTTCCCCGAGTAAATAGGCAAGTGAACCAATAACATTTGCTGAGGTAAGATTATATTTTATTGGATTATATTGGATACAAATTATATTTTAGAAGAAACTCTCAGATCCGGAATTAGAATTCTTCCTAGATTCTTGTGCTTCATATAGTTCTTATATCCTATTTCTAGACTACAAACTCCTAAATCCTTACCCTCAGACTCATTCTTAGTTGTTGCCCTATCTCCCATTCCAGTAGCCTTTCAAAGGAAAACTCCAAGTCATTTTTGTTTAATTCAGACTAACTGTGATGTGGTTGGTGAAATCTGGCAAACAGAATCAGAATCTTGTTTCTTCCAGGGCCTGTTTAATTATTGAACTGTACTACTACATATCTATAAAATGGTAATAATGTCGTTTGCATTTGTTGAGTGGATTACAGAAGCTGTGCGCAAAGTGTCATCGCTTTGGCTAATAGATAGTAGCAGGCATTGTTATTAGACACTGTTCCTACTTTTTAATCTAGAGGAAAAGACAGAACACATAGGGTAACTTCTTAAATTAAGCTGTGATAAGAACCGTAATCCTTGTAGTAGAGGGAAAGAAATGGTAATTTCTATTAGGGGCTCTAAGACTGCTCTGTAGAGGGATGGCCTATGAGCCACAGAGTGTTGGGTGGGTTGCTTTTGAATGGGTGGAGGGAGAGGAAAGGGCTGTCCAGGCACAGGAAGCAGCTTGAGCTCAGGGTGAGGCAGGAAGTTCTGGGTGTGTATAGGGCTGAGGTCCACTGTGGCTGGTTTAGCCCACAGAAATGTTTTTTTGGAAATATACAATGCTTTCATAGATTTAAGCCAACAGAAAAACATGAAGAATTACACTTAAAAATTCTAGATTTCCAATTTCTTTTGAAATAGTTGAGGTCTTACAACTGTTGGTTGAAGCTTACCACCTTTCTTTAGTCTCATTTTAATTACTATATTTTAGACATTTTAATATAATTTAGTTCAAGTATTCCATTAATTTTTAAAAGTGTCTTGGCTATTATTGCCGTTTTATTCTTACATATGATATTGGTAATTATTTTACTTCCCTAGAAATATGGTACGTATTACAGTTAATTCAAACCTTATTTTATATTTTCCAGTAACATTTAGCAACTTTTATGTTGAGTTCTATAGTTATTTTATATTTGTACATGCTTTTGTGAACGTCCCCCTTGACTCTTTATATATTCTAACTAGTCCTTGTTGGTATGTTTTTGTAGGAGGTCCCAGTTGGCTTGGATTGATATTTTTATGTTAAAGAAGCATTTTTTCCCCCACCAAAAATTATAATTAGGAACAGATTTTGAATTTTATCAAAGCCTTGGGCATCTTATGATCCTCCCATGATCCTTCTCTTTGATATATTGATGTTTTGGATTATCAAAGTTACTTTTCAACAATAAATTAGTTAAGTTTTCTATGTTTTATTTTGCTCTGGAATAATTCCTACAGCATCAGAATAATTTTTTCTTTTAAAAGTTCTTTCAAAATATGTTATCTATTTTTTAAATGGTGAGCAACTTTGTATCTGCCTTTTTTCTAAGTAATTATTTGTCCTCTGCTACGTCACACCCACACCCCACAAAGTCTGTTTTGTAGCGATTGACCCAGTCAGGTTTCCTGCTTTTTTTAAGTCAATATTGATTGATATTTATGGTTACCTACAAAGTAATATTGTGGCTATTTTCAAGTTTAGTAGCATAAATTTAAACAATATATTTTAAAAATGTCCATTTGGTGGATAAAGCAATTGTTAATTCCATGATTTTTGGACTTTTTATCTTTAAAAATAGACTAGTTTATCTATGAGTCTGCCTCTCTCTTTTGCGTGTTAGTTAATTTTGTTAATTAGCTTCCATGACTGGTGGGGGAGGGGGTACGGAGAGGTAGAGGTGGAGGGTATGGGGGGATAAAGGATGATGCAAGGAGACTTGACTTGGGTGGTGAACACACACTACAGAGCACAGATGGTGTGTTGTGGGACTGTGCACCTGACACCTGTATAATTTGGTTATTCAGTGTCATCCCAATACATTCAGCAAAAAGGAAAAAAAGAAAGGAAAAAATAGTTTATGATTTATTAAAAATATTCAAGTTTAGTACTTTTTGATGTTACGCATTCTAATGGTTTTTTCAAAGTGATTGATTTTACATTTTGCTATTCATTTTTAGTTAGAATCTGATGCATAAATACCACATTTTAGAAGTTATTGAAAATTTTTTGTCATACCATATAAGTAATTTAGATAATTTATTTAGGTGATATATTTAAAAACACTGTATTTACTCTCAGTATAAAATTTGATGTGAATGTATTAACTTTTTGTCTTTTGCTCTTGAAAGAGTTCTACTTGGCTTCTTGAAGAAAGATAATATGCAAGTGAACATTTAGAGTTTCTCAAAGAATTGTAGAGTAGTAGAGTCAGCTATAATTCAGCGGTTGTCTGATTTTCTAATAGTATTGAAAAGTTGACCTAAATAGATTCTAAGAATACCAGAATGACCTCGACATGGATGAGTTATTATTGCTATTGCAGAGAACATAAGCATATATTCAAGAAAATGAGAGATATACTTGAAAATAATTTAGAAAGAGCCCTTTTATGATCTCTATTGAGTGTTAAGTGACTATAATATACTTAGTTTCTTAGATGAATGCTGTAAGTGAAGAAGTATAGCGTTGAAATAAATGTGCCCTCATTGTACATTGAAGATTTAGCTAGCAATTTTTATGGGATGAAAACTAAAGAACTATACGTGTATAAGCGTAAGCTCTGTTACCGAGATAAATTTTCTAACCTATCTTGTGACTAGATTTTTTTGTCTCAACACTTGCGTATTTCTTCTGAAACTTTGTAGGGTGCATTTGTTGTGACTGTTTGTTGACTCTAAAATCTAAAGGCCCAGGCATGGGCATTTTCACTTTGGTTTCTTTTCTTTGCTCCTCTTCAGATCATTTTCTGACCAAGCTTAGGAGCACCATCCTCGAGTACACGGCAAGTCTTAATGGGTTTTGCTTGGCTTTCCCTGATATCTAGTTTCTAACATGTGTCTGGTTTATTTCTCTAAGCTGGTTTTCATTCTTTAAATTGAGATATATACCTAGTCACCTCACACTTTCGTGAATAGAACATAAAATGGTCTAACAAGTGATTACTTCACATTCCTATTTACTCTTATTTCTGTGGAGATAGAATCATCTTTAAATTCAACATATTTCTTTATTTTACCTTAGTGAGACCGTGCTTGCAAGTTTTGATTGGAAAGTTTGGAGAAAAATTGCATAGCAACTCTACCCAGAATATTTGCTCTTAAAAATTGAATCCGGGATCCATGTGTGTCCCATAGAGTATCTGCATCCTTTTCTCCTTTGAGCTGTTTTGAATTGGAACTAACACCATTACCGAGAGTACACTGTCATAATAGAGAAGAAGGATAAGTACGTCTTTCTTGAATTGTTTGGCTTGGCTGTGTTATATACCGTGGGGCAAAAAGTAGGTTTACATTTGTGAGTATGTGAAACAGTTTATTTTTATATTGTTATGTATTCATTACTTTCCATAGAAACAACGGTAAAATCAACTTTTGCCCCACCCTGTATGGTCAGGAGGGAAAGAGATTTGAGTTGCTAAACACCTTAGTGTCTTTAGAGAGAGTGAAAAATAACTAACAATATATACTTCTGTTACACCAGATGTCTAATAATTATCCATTTAGCATAATGCAATCACCTGTTTTCTAGGCAGTCATATTTTGTTGGATATGGTTTAATTTATTGTCTTGATAACTGAGTGAAACATTCAGAATTCCTGTGAGCAGTGTTGTAAGTATGCATTGATTTCATCTCTAGAAAAAGTCATTATTGCTCATCAATAGCATGGATATTTTCAAAAGAATTGAACGTTTGAAAATTGGAAAAAAATTTGTTATGAAATGTAGTGTTGAATAAAATAAATGGGAATTCAGTTATAAAGTATGCTAAATTAGTCTCACTTTTGTTATGTTAGAAACCATTAACTTTTTTGTCGTGAAGTCTATTAATTATGATTTCACTAATATTTAAAATAATATACTTTTCTGATAATGAAATGAAAATTTTGTGTTAAATATTTGAATTCAATTTTAATGTCTAAGATGTCCAATTAAAATAATTGATAAAGGTTATACCCACCTGGCAGGGGAGATGCAATGATCACGAAGGTGGCTTTCCCAGGGCGAGGCTCACCCATCGCGCTCTGGATGTGCTGAACCCTGTGATTTCCCCAAACGTGGGAAACTCACTGCATAGTTCGTGGTAGTGGGGACTGCGTTTGCGCTCTCCCCTGAAAAGAAACATTGATGAAGGCAGCTGTTGAAATACCTGTATTACCAAAACAGTCTCAAATATCCATTTAGATGGTTACTTGTTGAAAGCTCTGCAAGCATTTTCTATCTAAAACTGAAACACAGATGAAACCTTTAATAGCTAGCAAGCAAAAAATAAGATCATGAAATATAATTGACTGTGAGTGCCTTGAGGACAGCGACAATATTTTATAAATACCTTTGAATTCCCAATTACAGTGGTCCAAACTATATAGAATAAGGGCTCAATCACATGTGTGAAATTCAGCTGTACTATTTCTTTTTCAGACTGACAAGAAATTGCTATCTCATAACTACCTTAATTTTATTACACAATAAGATGTGATGCTGAGAACATCAGTGTCTTGGCTTGAGTTTCTCTCTCTCTCTCTCTTTTTTTTCTGAGCACATTCTGTCCTTACATGTGGTATGAAAGACATTTCTCTCCCTCTCACTTTACAAAGCCTTCTTCCTCTTTCACCTTTGGCGGTAATTAGGCACAATGTATATTATTAGTTTTTATCCATTTATTTTCAGGGCTTGAGTATTGAATTATTTGAACAAGCACTTCATTCTTTTATGGAAAAGGTTCTCTTTCAGAAGCTGTCTTTCTGTTAACATGTTCAGGTTGGAAGCCAAGCAATGCTGTCCCCTTCACCTGTGTATTTTGTGGGAGAAGCCAGGTATTCAGTCTGTGCATCCCATGCCATATGTGTTTATGAATTTACTCTTTTACCAAAGACCCTTTCCCTTTTTTCTCTACCTTTCCTTCCCCTCCCTTGCCCTCTTAGTAAGTTTTTGGTGTTGTGCATAAACCTACAATAATATAAAATTATTCCACTGTGTGTTCTGTGATGCTTCTATTTAGACTGAGTAAAATATGATAATGATGTGATTTTATTTTTCTTAGCTTTGTTTGCTGTGTTCCACTTTATTAAACAGATTGGTATTTTTTTAAAAAAATTTAAGCAAATACTCTGCAATAAAGTTAGAATTAGGGACAAAATTCTGTTTTGGGGATTTCAAAACTCATAGAGTTGTATTTCTAGAAAACACTTGTATTTTAAGAATTCTGAAAAGGCTAACTAGGTTCCTGTTTTCTTTGACAGTGTATCTCCTGATCTGTCTTAAATAGCATTTGAGATGCGTAATTGTGTCTCCAACTTGTTTTTAGAGATTTTTAAACACTGTCATCCAATTAACTTTGTGTTTATTTAGTAAAAGAACAGCTCTCTTAACAACACTAAGACAATCATCGGCTCTCACTGTTCTTGGACCTGGTGAAGGACTGAGTATAAGGGTGAACTGTGCAGCTTATGGTCCAAAAGAAAAGATATACACACAACAGATAATTTCATAAGTGAATTAAATTAATAAAAGTGGGTAAAGTGATACAAAGGAAAGGTACACAGTGCTACTGTGGAATCTGTGCAGGGTACAGAGGGGAACTAACGTAATTCAGTCGTGTGCACTCATGCAGTTTAAAATATGAGAGCCTAGCCATTCCGTATTTTATCTCACGGCCACCATCGTCTGTTGGTTTCCTGTGGTATGCTGTTTTACATTGCTGGTCTATTGCTTCTTAACATAAAGCTAGTGAACTTAGAAGTTGATAGATTTAATTAGTAACACTGTATATATGTTCATGAACTTAAATACTAAACTAGGAAAATGTTTTCTTGATGGAAAATTATCGACTTTTGAAACTGTATATTAACTCTGGCTATATCACATTTTCCGTCTCCGACACTGGGGAAATGGTGGTGCCAAGAACAGAAATTAAGAAGTTGAGAAAAATCTGGGGGGAGCTGGAGACAAACACAGTAAAAACAGTATCTGTCTTGACCAAGAAAGAAGAAGGATTCTGGTCATTCAAAACTTCCAGCATGTAGATTCACTGAAAGAAACCATACGTTACTGTGTAGCATTTAATTTGTAATGATTCAGAGCACACACAAGTCAAGAAACTTTGGTACCTACCGTATTCATCTTTATGAATCTCAATATATGTGAATGTGCAGAAGTGTCAGGCTGTAATGTTGTGGCTGAATACATGCCGTATAACAGAGCATGAGTTAATCACTCGCTGAATGCCTGTGCCTGTCTGCAGAGGAATAATGATGCCCTTCTCAAAACTGTCTAGAAACAAAATGTACAAATCATTCAAATAAAGTGCAGTCTGTGCAACTAAGATGACTCACAAGCCCACAATACACCTCATCCAGGAAATTTTGTTACCTGTGCGTGCTTCTTTATTTTTTGTGTGGGGTGTGTGTGTGTGTTTTAATAACAGGATAAAATACATTTTGTTACCCAGTTTTGGAAAGGTAATTAGTCCACTGGGAAAAAGTGTTCTCATCTTTCTCATATTAAGTTCATTTTTTAGGATCTGTTCCAATGTCACATTTTATTTAGCTAACTCCATCTACTTCTAATAAAGCTCCTATCGTTTAACTCTAAATCACTATGTAAACTGTGATGCCGTGATAAAGTATTGAATAGATCTCATGTGGTGAGGACCAGCTATTTGTGTAATCACTGTGCTTTATTTGATACCATCATAGTAGATCAAGTTTTTTGAAATTAGGCAGAATTGAATTATAGCTAATACATATTCATAGTGATTCTGAAGTTGTCTTTTTTTATTTCAGATCATTTCAAGGAAAAGGTAATGTTTTCTTAATTTTGATTTTTTTTAATCCAAAAGACCTATACAAGTCAAATAAAAATACAACATTATAAATTAGCCAGGCACCTCTAACTGAAGATGTGGACTTGGTTCTTCAGAATTCTCTGTGGGATGTCCTTAAGCAATTTAGAAGATTGTCTGCTTGTTAGGGACCACTGATAGCCAGCATATCCCCTGCTCTACCATTTTAGATGTAGAGTCCCCTTTTTAAAAACAGTTGATTTTTCTTGTAGTTTTGTCTCTTACCGGTTATTCCCCTTATACTCCCTCCCATCTCCACCCGTCCCTTCCCCGTGCAGTCACCACAGATATAGAGGACCTCTGAACAGGCATTTTCAGTTGCACCGTTGATGATGTTTCTTAGCACCTAGACCAACGTCTTTGAAATCACAACATTTTTAAATCAAGTCATTGTTTTTCTTTGACACTAAGAAAAAAAACCCTCCAATGACCAGCTGGAAGGATATTCCTATTAGTAATCCTAAAAAAGGTTAACTGAAAATTTTTTCTGCAGCAGAACAAAATTGTATGGTGTCCTAGAATTCATTTTTTATAGAACTTTTAGAAATGATAATTGAACAAGTATTTACTGAGAAGTAATTCTAAATTTATAGCAGGTTGCGTGAGCAGTGCATTTGTTAGCATTTCACTGGGATTGTGTGTGCCCTACTCTTTCCCGTGGTACTTTGTGTCCTTGAGAGCTTCCGGGCACAGAATACAGTGGTGTGTTGTGGTTGAATTTGTGCCATCTATGCCTTTAGGACTGATGTTAGAATGTGCCTGTGTTTTAGTTTAGGTTTAAGTCTGTGCTTTCTCCCCCCAAAGAGTGCTCGCTCTGGGTGAGGCCCTGTGCCGGGTATCCTGCAGAAGTGAAGGGGACGGTCTTTGCCCGCCTGGAACCACGGCTAGGCGTTGAAGCAGCTGAATTTCAAGTGAGGAATTTTACCAAAGGGGAAGGATGTT